GGGGATGAGTATTAAAATGCAAATCTGGTCACCTAACTTACCTCTTTTTATGGGCCCCTCACTATTTACACCCTGTGGCGTAGGAAGTGGGAGGTGCTTACCCTGGGGTAGATATAAGCAACCCTTTGGGATATATGGAGGAAATACTAGGATGCCTTTTACATGCTTTTAATTTGTAAAAACAGAAGACAATCTGAGTACCTCACATTTCTTCTTTTGGAGTTCGGTCAAATATTTAACTGCAGAACCACTATAATCAGTTCCTTAAATACCTTTACTGCCTTTATCTCTCCCCACAGCCCAGGAGCAGTCACTTCGACATGGCACTGTTTGTGCTTCCGTTAATGTAGAATGTGTTCGTCTTGCTCTCGTGACTTCTGCTATAGCCTCATATTTGTGAGAACATGGGGTTCACATGGAACAGCTGACATGTTTGGCTCTTCAGTGAAGTGTAACTGGATAGTACAAAGGACAGCTGTTTTCTCCTTTATTACTCTAGTCTATGTTAAACGTGTGTTTAACCTGGTTTATCTAGTGCAGTATTTCAAGTATATCTTTATTTTTTATTTATTTTAAATTTTATTTATTTATTTGAGAGAGAGAATGAGAGAGAGAGAGCACATGAGAGGGGGGAGGGTCAGAGGGAGAAGCAGACTCCCGGCCGAGCAGGGAGCCCGATGCGGGACTCGATCCCGGGACTCCAGGATCATGACCTGAGCCAAAGGCAGTCGCTTAACCAACTGAGCCACCCAGGCGTCCTCAAGTATGTCTTCATACATATGCCTCCATTACCAGATCATACATGCTGAGGAGCAGAATTTTGTCTTTCCATCTCTAGCAACAAGGACAGTTCAAGGTATAAGAGAAACTTTATAATAGTATTTTTAGGAACAAATGAATTAACGCAGAGGTAGGAAATTTCTAATGTGGTATCTCTTTACCCCACAGTACAGAGTACAAACCATGGTGTATTTTGTACAAGACAAAACACACAAAAAAGAATGAACTCTTAGACTCTCTGTTCTGATCCAGGCTGATGCCTTGAATTGAGGCACATGTCATTACAGGAGTTGGTGTCATTTGAGGACGTGGTTGTGAACTTCTCCTGGGAGGAGTGGCAGGACCTGGATGATGCTCAGCAGACCCTGTACAGGGTTGTGATGCTGGAGACGTACAGTAGCCTGGTGTCATTGGGTGAGTGAAAGTGTCCTAGTAAGTGTAAGCAGCTTTTTCTTCATTGGCAAATGTGCAACTGTTTATGAAGTTAAATGCTACTTAGGTTTAAGATTCGAGGCCTGGAAGAGTGTTAGTGTTCACCCTTCTAATCAGAGGTTCACATTGGCCCTTCATTGTACAGTTCTTGCAGCTGTGCTCTTGTCGTTCTTCAAAGGTCCTGAAACTTAAGCTGTTTGTTAAAAGTCCCACTTTATTTCTGATCAACAGGGCACTGCATTACCAAACCTGAGGTGATTGTCAAGTTGGAGCAAGGAGCAGAGCCATGGACTGTAGAGGAAGCCCCAACCCAGAGCCTCCCAGGTCAGTCCGTGCATACTGGGCAGGGGTCTGGGAAGAGGAGAGCACAGCAGATGTTGGCCGTGCTGGGCTGTTTTCTCCAGTGCTTTTCCCAGGTCCAGACCTTAGGACAGTGAGTCTGCCTGTGTCAGACTCATGCATTCTTCACTCTCAAAATATGGCTCTCACACACAAATGTCCCCTTCTTTTTTTAATCACCCTCTATTTTCTTAGACTTACCCAAAATCCAATCCCTAGCTGTATCTCTTGGCATTTTTTTTGTTTTTTTTTGTTAATTACTTTCTCTAGATTCTTAATGTTTTCCTTTTGTTCATTTTCAAGGACTGTTTGCTTTAAGGCATTCATACATTTGTTTATTCTTTCAGTATGTTAATTGGAAAATTCTAGGCAGTGGTCATTTTCTTGTGCAGATAACAACAGTAATCAAAAAAATGTCCTTTTTATGGAACTTGAAGTTTCTTGAGAGGGAAAATGAAACAAACATATATGTTAAGTAGTGAAGTAAGAACCCTGAAGTATATTTAATGAGGACAAGAGAGAAAATTGTGGTGTATTATAATTTGAAGGGTTCTGAGAAGGCAGTTTTAGGGCGATTAAGTATTTACATTGGTAGAGCTTAAATTGAGATGACTACTTTCCATTTCCACATGTCATAGATGAGTGCATACAAAATCTAGAGTGGGGGATAGATGTCCATCACCATACTGGAGATGTAAATTGGGAAATTATTAACCCTAAACTGCCAGGATTAGAGGAGGTGGCCTCTGGAATTACTAAGAACATGAGAGAAGAAGTCCTGGTGGAAATCTCGTGAACTACGACATCAGAGATCATGAAACTGAGGAGGACCCAGCAAATTGTTCAGCATGGAAAGAGGTGGTTTGTGACATGGTATGAGAAACTAGAGATTGTGGGTCCAGGGCTAATAGGACGAAGAGTTTCAGGTTGGGGGACTCAAACTTTGGGATTGGAATCTGAAGTTAGCATGTTTACCGTCTCTTGTGGAAATCATTGTTAGAAAAGAAAAAAGAATGAGAAATGTGTGGGACTCCAGTTTCAGTGGAACTCAAAGACAACTGAAACTCTGAAGTGCAAGATAGAAGTCTTCAGAAGCAGTGAATTACCAAGTAGGGATTGTTGTATCATGAAGTGGGGCGAGAATGCCAGGGGTTTTTTTTTTTTTTAATCTAAGTAGGAACGAGAAAGGGTTTTCAATGATGGTGGGCATAGTCTGGGTTGTGGAACCTAAATCTTTTTTTAATTTTTAAAGTTTTTAAATTTTTTTTTATTTGAGAGAGAGTGAGAGCGAAAGCAATCACAGAGGGTGAGGGAAAAGCAGACTCGCCGCTGAGTAGGGGGCCTGATGTAGGGTTCGATCCCAGGACCCCAGGATCATGACCTGAGCTGAAGGCAGATGCCTAACCAACTGAGCCACCCAGGCACCCAACCTAAATCTTTTAGACTAGCAGGGAGGAGTTGCACAAAGCAATGAACCAGAGTTTCCTGTACCTGTTATGGTTGTGAGAAGCCAGGGATGTAGGATTTCATTAGGAATTAGCAGAAAGCTGTCTTTGGCTAGCATGGAGAGGGAGAGAGGATGCCTTTGAGAAACTCCACAGGTGCTCATAGCCAATCCTCAGAGAGGAGTAAAAAAATAAACGTGGGTGCAAATCCTTGTCCTAAGCAATATCCCCACTTAGGTGACAGACAAATGGTCCTCTACTGCATCCTAAAGTAGCCGATCCAGGAGGATCTTGTCATCTTCAAAGCTGAGTGATGAGAAAAGGCCAAGTATAAGAAACTCACAGTTATTAGGAGAGAAAACAGGAAACAGAACAAGAACACAAATGGCAGATGAAAGAATTCAGCCAAAATCCGTGGCTAGGGAAGAGGTGAATATTGTGACCGAATATTTCCTCATGGATCCAAAAAGGAAAAAAGAAACTTAAAAAAGCAAAACTGACAACTAAAACCATGATTTGATGTTAGAGAATCTACTAGTGTAATTTGTTACATCAATTCATTAGAAAGAAAAATCGTATCTTTATCATAATCATACCCATTATTGATTCTTCACAATTCGTATCCTACTGTGATGGAAAGAAACTGCTTCATTCTTACACAAACATTCCATAAGAAATGCTTAGATGTGGTTCACAGATATGGTTACTTTGTCTCATTTTAGATGTCCAGACTGCAGATGACCTGATTGAGACCCACCAGGAGCATCAGAGCAGACGTGTGTGGCAAGTTGGATTTGCCAACAACAAAACGTCAACTAAGGAGAGAACCAACTTGGGAAAACCATTTAATTTGAGTGCAATCCACCTTTCAAACCTGATTATAAATAATGGAAACTGTTCAGGAATGAAGCCAGAGGAGTTTAATGTGTGTCAGAACATGTTTCTCCCTGGTGAGCCTGATGAGATGTATGCTGGAGAGAAGCCTGAGGACCATAATACAACTGGGAAACCCCTCAGGTATGGCGAGCATTGTAGTTTTCATCAGAAGGATCGAATTTTGCAGCCACCTTTTGAATTTGGTGGGCAAGGGAAGGGCTTCAACAAGGAGGCAACCTTCTTTACACATAGCAGTGCTCACATGGGAGAGCCTACCTATACATATGACGAATATCAGAGAGCCTGTGACAAGTCAGCTCTCATTGCCCAAGAGAGAACTCACATAGGGGAGGATCACTGTAGATGTAAGGAATGGGAGAACACCTTTCGTGCAAAACCAACACGGTCGAATCTTCATAGAGCTGATTTCAAGAAGCAACACTGTAAACTTATTCAAAGTGGGGATAATTTCTGCAAGAAATTACACCTCACTCCACTTTCAAGAACTCAGTTAGGAGAGAAAACTTTTGAATGTGATGTATGTGGCAAAACTTTCTACAAAAAGTCTAATCTCAGTAAACATCAGAAAATACACACAGGAGAGAAACCCTATAAATGCAGTGAGTGTGAGAAAACCTTCATCAGTAAAACAGTTCTTACAATACATCAGAGAACTCATACAGGGGAGAAACCCTATGCATGTACCGAATGTGAGAAATCTTTCTGCCATAAGTCACACCTAACTGTTCATCAGAGAACCCACACAGGAGAAAAGCCGTATGAATGTTATGAATGTGGGAAATCCTTCTCTGTGAAAACCAAACTCACTGTACATCTGAGAACACACACAGGAGAGAAACCCTATGAATGTAATGAGTGTAGGAAATCCTTTTACCAGAAGTCAGCCCTCACTGTACATCAAAGGATTCACAATAGAGAGACACATCATGAATGCAATGATTGTGGTAAAACCTTCCATAAGAAGTCAATTCTCATTGCACATCAGAGAACTCACACAGGAGAGAGACCTTATGAATGTAAAGAATGTGGAAAATCCTTTGGCCATCGCCCAGCTCTTACCGTACATCAGAGAACTCACACAAGAGACAAACCTTATAAATGTAACGAATGTGGGAAATCTTTCTGTGTAAAGCCAAAGCTCACTGTGCATCTGAGACTTCACACAGGTGAGAAACCCTATGAATGTAAGGAATGTGGGAAGACTTTCTACCAGAAATCAAAACTCACTGTACACCAGAGAACTCACACAGGTGAGAAACCTTATAAATGTAATGAATGTTGGAAAACCTTTTGTGAGAAGTCAACTCTCAATAGACATCAGAGAACTCACACAGGAGAGAAACCCTATGGATGTAAAGAATGTAGGAAAACTTTCTACCAGAAGTCAGCCCTGACTGTACACCAGAGAACTCACACGGGAGAGAAACCCTATGAGTGTAATGAATGTGGGAAAACCTTCTGTCAGAAATCACACCTCAGCAAACATCAGAGAACTCACACTGGGGAGAAGTCATGTGGGGCAGAGACTGGCTATATGTATACCAAAACTCACTTTCTCTTTGTGTTGGGCACACAGTTAGGCTGCATGTCTCAGCCTCCCTTTACTGTGGGTGGAAGCGTGTAATTGAGCTATGGCCAAGAGATCATGAACACAAATTATGACCATTATTTCCGTGTCTGGCCACAAAAAAACTTACTTGCGTTTGCTGATTTTTCATTCCTTGTGCTCCTGAAGTGCAGATTACCCACAGGTTTGTCTTTGGAGCCTTAGATGGTAACCGTGACTTAAGGCAGAAAGGATTGATTGGGGAGGGCAGAGATCTTCTAAACTCTACTGCAAAAATCTTCACTTGTACTTATCTGAGTGAGAAATATTCACTGTTGAACCCTTCTGTGTGTGACCTATTTACAACACTGTGAGTCCATTATAGCCAGTTTGCTTTATGAATTTGAGATAGGCTTCTCTGAGAAGTTACCAGTCCTTGTGTAGGAGATTCACATAGGAAAGAACCTGAGTTCACCCCCAAGTCAATGGATGGAAAAAAATCAAATCATAGGAAGAAAGAAATTCAATAAATGCAGGAATGCCTTTATTGGCCAGAGACAGCTCATTGAACACTGAGAATAAAGTAAAACCTTATAAATATCTTTAATGTGTACAATGCCCCTAAGATTTGTAGAAGCCCTATTTATCTATTGTGAGGATTTATAGGGCACACTCGAGTCTCAGGGTTAGTAACATCCTTCGTCTGAGATTTACTGAGGCTCCATTTTGCTGATAGTGTCCTGAATGTGATCTTTAGCCAAAAGTCATTTCATACTTTAGAGATCTTTTTTTCCTGCCTGGAGAAGCTGGGAAGGAGGAACAGTTTTATTTTCAAACCTAGGTAGTCCTTGCTCCTTGGTATTTTGTCTAGATTGATCTTTAAGACTGAACAGTTTCTTTTATCTCATCTGTCTCTACCTATACCTTATGGTAAGTGAGTCTACCAGCTATAAGTTTTTTGTTTTTTGTCTCAGCTAGGAACCCACCCTTGGTTGCCTGACTTTGTGATGATGGGGTTATATTTCTCCTTTTCCAGCTGACACATCTTTGGGTTTCCAAGGAAAGAGCCTGGAGGGAGATTGCAAGGCTGAGCAGCAAGGATTTTCTTTCTTCTTCTTTGGCAGATATCCATGTGGTTGTGAGCAGGGGTGGGGGAAGGTTCCAGTCCTGTTTCTCTGGTCCTGTTTCGCTGTCCAGAACTTTAACATGGTGACTCATATTTGAATGTACCTGAAATGCTTCAAACACTTTACCACTAAGCATAAAAGAAGTTACCTTCTATTCCTAGATTTATTTTTTTTACGCAAATAGGTGTTGGATTTTGCCGAAGGCTTTATTCATCTGTTGAAGTAATCATAAATCCCGTTTCTTTATTGTGAACCAGATGAAGCTACAAAATTATTTCTAATCATGGGCTTAGCTGAACTGCTTCCATTGTCATGCAGGGGAATATACCACTTTCCAGAGATACAGGAGTTATTTTGATAAGATGTTACCAGTTCATTTATGTCACAGGTCTGATTAACCCCATCTCAGAAAACTGGGAGGTTGATGCCTAGTGTGTCTAATTTTGCAGGTCATTATTTTTCCGTTCTTCCGTAGAAACAGTGCTCATACTTCAAAAGCACACAATAGTTTTAGGTGAATTGACTCCCAGGATACTGAGGAATTCTAACATACTGTGTTGTAGTGACACGTGTCTCGGTTTTGTATTTTGTGCCCACAAGAGCTCAAACTATACTTGGCCTCCAATTATGTTTCTTTTTCTCAGCTAATTGGTGGGGACTGTGGGCAAGGGATTGACTGGCTGAGAACCCCAGCACCTTGCTCCTCATTTTGGGGATTTCTGGGATTCTGTATAGTCCAGGCCTGAATAAGGAATTGAAACAATCACAGCGTGGGTTTGCAGCATGTGCATCCTTCTGCCTGGAGACCCAGAACTGTGTGATAAGTCCTAGAAATGAGCAGAGCGGAGACTATAAGGTTAGGGAAGCACTTTTGAGTGAGTCTCAGAGTCCTGCCGCAGGACTCTGGCTGAGGCCAAGAGGAAATGTGGCCAAGGCTTTACCAAGTCTCGGGGGTCAGGGGTCTTGGGCCAGATAAACCCTTCCACCCCTGCACAAACTCAGCTGAGGCAGTTGTACTGAAATAGTGCTTTTATTTCTTGAAGTTCTTGGAATATGCTGCAGGGCAGGGGGAATCCTCCTTGGCTAGGAGGGCAAAGGGCCTTGCTTGGTGGGCAGCTCTGGGTCTTTCTCCTCGATGACTCCTAGGAGCTTGGGACTGGCCTGTGGGAGGTCAGGGTCTGAGGAGGGAAGTCTCCAAGCATCCCTATGCCCACAGCTCACTGGAACCTGCCCCTTGCCACCCCACCATTGCCAGCCTCTGCACTTTTGTCTTGGTGGTGCCCTGTGAGAACAGACCATCCTCTGAGGACTGTGGTTCCCCTTCCTCACCTTCCTGTACCCTGCTCCTTCCATGAGCTATTCTCTGCTCCCTGCCACCTCATTCCAGGACTCACAGGTTCTCCTGGGCCAGCCCCTTCTTCTTGTTTGCTTGGGGCTTGAGCAGGGATCTGCATCCCAAGCTTTTCCAGCTCCTCCTTAAGCCTGGACAGAAAAGGGTGGGGTAGGAGTGTGTGGGAGGGGAGGGGAGGGGAAGGGACAAGAGGGTGTGAAGAGACCAGGAGATAAGCCAAAAGGGGAGTGGAGATGCCCTCAGCCACCTTCCCCTTGGGTACTGGGGGCAGGGCCTCCATGCCCACCTCTGCCTCTTCTGCTGCAGCTGCTGGCACTTCTGCTGCAGCTGCTCATGGTGATGTGCAGCAGCCTCCAGGAGCTCCTGGGCCTTCCTGTTCTCCTCTTCAAACAGATGCCTGAGGGTAGGGCCATCAGCAGTGGTGGCTCCCTCCCTCCACCCCATTCCCTGTCCCCACCATCCTTATCTTACACCGCAGCTGCGGCCTCCTGGCTGCGCAGAAAGAGCCCCTCAGCAATGGTCGAGCAGCCATCAGCCCCAAATTGGGAACACAGGCGATGCTTCACATCCTCCAGCTTCGCCTCCACAAGCTTCTCTGCAGCAGGAAGGGACAGATGAGCAGGGCAGGGCAGGACAGGACAGGGCAGGGCCTTCCCATTCTCCAGGCCTCACCTTCCTTGAGCAGTTGCTCCTTGCTGCTGTCCAGGGTGCCAATCTCCCGGGCCATCTGCTCTGGCCTCTGAGTAGGTAGAGAGGAGGCCTGTCCATGTGTCCCAGGCTCTCCCTTGCACCTCAGAGAAGCCTACCTGGATCTGGTCTCTACTCAGCATGCCTCACTTCCTACTACTCTGGGTCTCTGGGCGCACAAGGCATGTGCCAGCTTCAGGGCCTTTGTACTGGCCATTTTCTCTCCCCAGGGAACTGTCTCACCCCAGATACCTGTGATGCTGCACTTGAGAGGCTCATGAGGTGGTTCATGAATTTTGCAAGCTTTGAAATCAGGTCTGAGGCAAGTATTTATTATAGGGGATCCTGAAAACATTACAAATCAGAACTGTTCCCTGGAGAATCAGTCACCAGACCTGAACTGCAGCTCCTCTTCCCTTTGTGTGGTGTTCTCACTGAGCTCCTCCATCCTAACATTGATTCTCTCTGCCCCTTTTATTTGGCACCTGGGATCCTTGGTTTCCCACTATCTGCCCTGTGCCGTCACGGCTGCAAACATATCCACGGATCTTCCTTATGGATAACCTCTCCTTGGTTCATCGGGGTTCCTCCTGGCCACTGAAGGGCCAGGGGGGAGCAGCAGGGATGGATGGGCAGGACCAGCAGAAGAGGACGACACTGGGTGGCAGTGACGGTGGTGTGTAGGGACTGAGCTGAGGGCCATCTTGATGTATGACCACCAGGGCTGGCTCAGGAGCTGGGTGTGGCAGGTGAGAGGGAGGAGGCTTGCAGTGTGACCCTGAGCTTTGGGCCTGGGACTTCCAGGGAAGATTTGGAAGGTGGGAGTAATGGCTTTGAGTGACTCACATGGAACTTCCAGAGGTCCTTGTGCTGGCCCATCAGATCCTCCAGCTGTTCCTCAAAATCCAACCTGTGGACCAACCATTCAAGATGAGGGGCCATGGGCTGAGACATTCCTCCTCACCTTGGTCCAGGCCAGGGGTCTTCATGCACAGACCTTGGGAGGCTTGCCCGTGTTCTTTGCTCTGCAGGAAGTACTTTCACCACCTTGACCCTTCAAGATCAGCCCAGCCAGCTCCTCTTCTAATCCCCATCCCCAATATTACCCGCACCCACAACCCATCCCAGCACATCGCCCCCCCTGCCTGGTATTGGACACTGGGCTTTACCTCAGTTGCCTCTGTTTGTTCTTCTCTTCCTCAATCTGGGAGTTCAGGGCAGAAATTCGCTCCTTGCACTCCTGCAGCATGGTCTGCTTCCTGGGAAGAGGCAAGGCAGCTGTCAGTCATATTCTCTGAATGTCTCCCCAGGACAGGGCTGGGGTGGGGCTTCTGCCTTCTCTTGGGGTCTGTTCTGGCTTTGCAGATCAAGGCCCTTCTCTAATAACTTCATGGGGGGGCATGAGCATGTGTACCCTGGAAATACTGTTGTGAAATCAGGAAGATCAACATGGACAGACACAGGTGCACAAGCACACACTAACATATCAGTCTCATCCAAATTTCCCATGTAGTTCTAATGTTGGTGGGCTTGGGGACTCTGGTCACAAAATGAGTTAAATCAAGGTTCAGGAAGTGGAGAGATGGATTCACAAATATTGAGGTGGATGGAAAGATAGTAGATGAATGGAGAGACACTGGGTGCCTTGATGCCTAAATGAAGGGATAAGAGAGTGAACAGAGACCAAGGAGCTGATTTTATGAAGAGTGACAGGCATAAAATAAATAACAGCTGAAAGCATTTGATATTCTAGCAAATGAATGATTATCCCAGTGAGTCAGAGTACCGTTAACAGTACTGCGTACTGTTGGGGCCAAGGTGGGAAGACATGCATCTGGCCTCTCCTTTTTTCAGAGGGAGACACTGTGATCTGTGGGTCCAGGACTGATTTTCCCTCTTTCACCTTTCCACCACTATGAAGGGGAAGGGCAGAGCAAGTCCCAGATGGAAGCTCTTACCTCTGTGCCTCACTTTCCTTCTCCTGGCAGTGGAGCCTGAGGATCCTTAGGGTCTCTGCAGGGAGAGGAGCCAAGGGCCCCGTGAGAACCCATCAAAGCATCAAGATTGGGCATTGATAATAGGGTCAGATCACGTGTGGTCTTGTGGACACCTGATAGCACTTTGTCATTTACTGCAAGTGTGGTGGAAGCCACAGGAGGGATGCAAGCTAAGTCAGGTTCCAAAGGGCTTCAGCTGCTATGGAAAGATTGGCCTCCGCAGGGTGACAAGGGCAAAAGTCTGGAGACAGAGTAGTTGCAGTTACCTTGCTTTTTGTTCAAGATCTCTTTCAGGCGTACTTTCTCTCCACTCACTGGAAAACACAGTAACACATTCAGGCCTCTGTGCATCACTGCACCCTCAGGGAGTGCATTTGCCCCTCACGCACAGGCAGTTTGGGATAGCTCTACCCCAATCCCAGATGTGGACCCCTTGAGTTGAGCCCCCTCCCCTCTTGAGCCCACACTCCCTGTAAGCAGCAAAGGGCCCTGGGGTTGATACAGGGTGACTGTGAAGATCCTGCAGGCGGCCAGTGTGTTTACATGGAGGAGAGAAAAAAAACACATCACATGAAGAAACACAAGCAGTAAGGGGAATGTGATCAGGTGGGGACAGGGTGCTGTCTTTAGATGGGATGACTTGGGGGAGGTTTATCTGAGAAGGGGACATTCAAGGTAAGAGCTGATGAGGATGTGTGGCAATAGGAACCTGTACTACCTGGGGGAAGAACAGCCTATCAAAAACCCTGAGGTGGAAGTATGCTTGGAGAGTACTTTGGGAACACTCCTACCCACAGAGTGGGAGATTGGCAGGACCTGATGTTGGAGAGGGGGTAGGAGCCCTTGGCCACAGCAAAAATGCTAAGTGTCCAGAATATTGAGTTCAGGAAGGTATGACACTGAAGACCTCTGGGTGACCCCCAGCTTGCTTACATGAGTCCATTTCCCTCTGCAGGGCCTCCCAAACAGTCCGGGCCTCTCCCAGCTCCTCACTGGCTTTCTTTTTTGCTGTGCCAAAAAGCAGAACAATGTCAGTGCAGCCTCCAACTGCATTATTCCTTGCAAACAGTGACATTTTTCATTTGTCTTCCAGGAAATCTGGGTTGGGGGACGGATTTTAAAGCA